TATGTATGTATGTATGTATGTATGTATGTATGTATGTATATATACTTTTCTAGCTTTACAAAGATCTTTCTTACATCTTTCTCTCTGTAGGGCTCTGGTTTTCTTCCTGAACTAGAGAGCGGAACCATTGTTGCAGCTGTGTGAGTCGACGGAACCTCCGTGGTGTAACACGCTGTCAGACGCAGCTTCCGAAGTGTGCAAGGAGCTTTTAAAAATATTTTTCTTTTATATAAAAAAACGGAGAAGGGAGTATTGTTTTCGTAAATTAAGGAATCGGGGCTTCTAGTGTGGTTCTGGAGAGAGAACAGGTAAAATGTTCATTTTTGTTTGTTTTATTTTTTTATTAATATTTAATCGTTCCGTCTGCTGCAGCTGAGTTCAGACACAGACAGACTGCTTATTTTTTCTCTTAATGAAAATCAACATTTCAAACCTATACATAATWTTTTATCAGTTAAATTCAAATAAGCTGTGTGCCTGAAGTCAGGCGTCAAACCTAATTTCTTTATATTTTCCACTTGACAAACTATTTTTAGCACCGAAGTGGTTCTAAAGAGCTATTATTTATTAGCCCATTAGCTTAAAAACAGTCCATGTAAGTACTTTAACAGACCTTCAGAAATCCTAAAACCAAAAGACCACTTTAAAATAAGGTTATTCTCCTTGAAAGTGAGMATGGGGTTGGTTTAAACTTTTGCACCATCACAGGTGTATAATGGAGGATGAAGATGATTGCCCAGAACTGGTACCCATCGACACCCAGCCTGCTGCTCCAGCCCAGCAGATACCTGTCACCATCATCACAGGCTACCTTGGTGAGATCAGGCTAATTTCACTTAGAAGTTAATATTGTGTTTCTTTCATTAAAAAAAAGAAATCTTTTTTTTTTTTTTTTACAGGTGCTGGGAAGACTACACTCCTAAACTACATCCTGACTGAACAACACAACAAACGGATCGCTGTTATACTTAATGAATTTGGAGAAGGTGAGTGGAAAAATATCAAATGAAACAAATGAGCTTTTATAGTTAAACTGATAGAAGTGATGGCGCGTCAGTAATTGTTGAATGTTAACCTGTGGCTCAAGCTCGTCAACAGAGCATCATAACAAAATACTGGATAAAGTAGATCGGTGGTTCCAAGCCTTGGGGTGAGGGTCCTCAGATGAGTTTGTTGATTAAATAAATTGTTAATAGAATATTTTCACCATGATTATTGTAAAAAAAACAATAACATAAATTAATAAAAGTAGTATCATTAGTTTTGTTTGTATTGGCCCATGTTTAACAGAGTAATTAGCAAAGTTTCCGTATGTTACCAGTAACATCTGGGGTCACGTCTGGGCCTGAAGCTGAAATGTTTGAAAACCAATGAGAAATAATGCCTGAAAATCGACAAATTTACCTGTTTCATTTAAGTTAGAGAACAATTTAAGCTCTTTTGTATTAACGTTTTTAATATGAGTACAGATTTTCACAAGTGTAGCACATTTAATATAAAAAAAGTGTCAGTTTTTGTTCATTCACAGTACTCCACATTCATGGTCTCCCTGCAGGCAGCGCCCTGGAGAAGTCCCTGGCAGTGAGTCAGGCCGGTGAGCTGTACGAGGAGTGGCTGGAGCTGAGGAACGGCTGCCTCTGTTGCTCTGTCAAGTATGTGCTCCGACCYCAGTCCGTGGAGCTAACATGTCAAAGTAATGTTTCATCTTTTACACACTATTCGTCACCTTTATGTGTTTTCAGGGACAATGGTCTTAAAGCCATTGAAAACCTGATGGAGAAGAAAGGAAAGTTTGACTACATCTTGTTAGAAACCACTGGACTTGCTGATCCAGGTAACTTACATCCACCATGACAGTTGAWATGATTAGATGTGGYTTCATTCTTGATTTACCAAAGTGGATATGAAATATGACGTACATTATGATGCATTTYGTGCATGTATAAATACACAGTTATGGTAAGAAACTAAAATAACCAGTTTTATCAGATTCAGATTTTGTTGTTAATTCCTTCACATGTTTCCAACATACAAGCAATCGAAATTACGTTTCCTACCGCCCCACGATTTAACAAACCTTTAAAACCATTGACAGACATTGAGATGACTGCATCTCAAATAAAAAAACAAAACTAAAACTAGACATCAATCAGTGAAGATGTGGATTTAAGTTAGCGTGGTTTTTTTTTATGTTCCGATA